ACTAGGCGAGGCCAGGGGAGGAATCTGGACACCAATATCTGGCGCTCAAGCTCACGTGGGTCAAATTAAAAAGGCCTGGGTGGCTCCTGCCCTCAGCCTCCTCCCCGGCTGGCGGGTACCTAAACCCGTCTGCAAAGTTCCTTAGAACCAGGGAACGCCTACATGGTTCCATTCCCAAAAAAGGGAGCAGCTAGTCCGGTGGTGAAATTATTAAGGCCATTCCACGTAGTTAAAAGGAAGATTTATTTAGTGGGTAACTTACAAATAAAGGGATAGGTAGGTCGCGGGGCCTGGGGAAGGTGTATCACAGTCCAACGGTGTTCTCTGGAGCTCTGCTCAGTCAACCTCCACCATCTAGGGTCCAGGAACAGAGAGAGCGCTCGCCCATCCAGGTCTCGGGTCTTCAGACGCCTCCCCTGGCCCCGCCTCATAGGCGTGACAGTTGCCAGAGTCTCAATGGGGGCTGGAACTTCCAAATCCAAGCTGGAATGGCTACCCACTACAGTACACCATCGATGCTGAGCCCTCACTGGGACCCTCCCTAGACATCCTGTTGCTTCCCAGTGTTGTGGAGATCCTGCAGCTCTGGGTCCACAGGACCGACCACCCCACTCCATGCTCCAGCAGATCACAGATACAGTGGATATTGGTGTGGACCAACACTAGAACCCTGGTTCTGGGCCTGGGTAGTTGCAGGGTTGGTCAGCCTGCCAGCTCTCGCCTGTCTCCACCACTGGGGCCAGCTCTCCAGCATTGCCCTGGCTAGTTCACTCCTTGCAGTAAAGCAAGGGGTGGGGCCAGTTCTCCTACATCTACACCTTCAGGGCCAGCTCTACTGTGTTGACCAGGAGAGGTGTAGAGGCCTTTCTCCTGAGTGCTACATCTGATGAGGGGCAGGGACAGCTCTCCAGCTCTTATGACCTCATGTACTGCTCTTCCACCTGCCTGGGGCATTGATGGGAGCGGGGGTGGGGGGGACACATGAGCACTGGCGTAAGAAGTTACTCTCCCATACCTACAACTCCAGGGCTGCCTCACTCACACCTCTGTACGCAGAACTGGCTCTATTGTGCTGCCCAAGCAAGGTACAGGGTCTGTTCTCCCGAGTGTTGCAGCTGATGGTGGGGGCCAAATCTAATTTCTTAGAGATAGTAACAAACTTTCTGAGGTTTTAAAAGTTTAAGTCTGAAAATCTGGGGAAATGAAAAGCTATGGTAGTCAAATTAAATAATAAATAATAATTAAAATAAATACAAATAAACTCTTTGTAAAACAGACTAGGTATAAAGAAACACAGAGCCACTACCTGTTATTAGATTGGGCAGCAAGTACTTATCCCTCTACTAATCTGTTACAAGCATTTTAATGTTGTCCACTTGATGAACAGCTCTAGAAGACAATGTGGTGACATTTATTGAGACCTTCTATGAGTTAAACATTTCATAAGCATTAGCCTAAAAATAAAAGCCACCTACACCAGGTTTTAACCAGTGCTGAGTTAGACTATCATTATACATAGGAGAAAACATTGGGAAAAAAGTATGAAAACAAAGTCTGAACACTTAACTACAACCAATATGCGTATGAAGTATTAAAACTGAAAAGTGTTTGCAAGCCAAAAAGAAATGCTTAATGCTTCAAATCTTTATCTTTTTTTTTCTTCTTCTTCTTCTTTTTTTTTTTTTTTTTTTTTTTTGACATACAGTCAGTATCTAGTTCATAATGCAGCCTCAAGATACAGTTCCTGGATTTGTAATGAAGCTTGCATTGTTAGTTAGGCTCTAGGAAAATATCAATGACCATGAGGGAAACGACAGTCCTGAAAGTGGGAAAGGAAAGGGAAACCATCTGCCAGTGGGCTTCACTGGGCTTCCAATGCTCCTAAGAACATAGAGAGTGATAATATCCACGCTTTGTGAGAAATGAACGGCAGAACAAAGAAAGCTAAATAACAACACACAGAAGGTTTACCACAGTTACACAAACCCCAACTTTTTCTACTTCATTTCTCTTACTTTGGATTCACAATTTAGTAAAATGCTATGGAATATATATACGTCATTAGCAATTTTTCTTAAATCTAGTCCCTTGTCTCCAAATTTTCTAACATAATTTTCAGTGTACTTCCCTTAAAGTATTGTCACAGTAAATCATTAACAGAGGTGTGGGGAGGTAAAGGCCAGAAGCTCTATCAAGTGATTTCCATTATTGCTCTAGGTCTTATGTTTTTAAAGACAGGGTCACTCACTGGACCTGAAGCTTAGTGGATGCCAAGACTGACCAGCGAGTTCCAGGGACCTTCCTCCTATCTTCACCCACCCGACACTAGTACTCCAGGCACATGGCCCACATCTGATTTTTTACTAGGGTCCTGGGAAATCTCAGCTTAGCTTCATTAAAAGACCAACAAATTTGTCTTTCATTTAATATATGTGCATAAAAATTGCTTCTTTTAACACAATAATGTTATAAATGCAATTTTCTTAATACTTCTTTCACTTAATTTTGAGATATAAAAGATTTTTATATATCATAAAATATTACTCAGAAAAATTCATAATTATTGTGTCACATCTCACAACATGAATGTGTATCAAAATTTATTTAACAATTCCATCATTAGATTTGTTAATATTCTTATAATCAGAACTAACACAAAAACATTCTTACAAATTTTTATATTTTATATACTCAAAGAAAATGTCTAGTAGGAGGATAATTTGCCACATATTAACAAATTTTAAAGCTACAAATATTATTGCATCATATTTCTATTTCCAGCATTTAGTTTGGTGTTCATCCAGTATTTACTTTTTTTGTGGAAGCTGTTTTATAAACATTAATAGTTTGCTTACAAACATTATAATAGATACATGTATATTCATCTGATACTTCACAAATAGACATTTTGAATAAAAATGTGAAGTACAGTAATAAAAACAAACATTTAGACTTCCGTGGATTATTGGTTCTTCTGTGTTACAAGAGACGAAGCATCACTAACATGCAATCAGAGTCCTGCACTGCTTCTCTTTCTACTACTCTGCTGATGTAATTGCTTTTACTTCCTAGTGTTTTGCTTTGGAATGCACTTCATACATAAGAGGTAGAATATGAGTTTATTAAAACTTCGTATCTATTTAGAAATGATGAAAATTTCAAGAATGAACCAGGGATAGAAGTTTTTAGAGTTTCAAATCAGTGAAAGGTTTTCCCTGTTTCTTTTTTAATCTCGAGTCCAGTGCTATGTTTCAGGGAAACTATACAACAGTTATTTTCATCAGTTAGGTGGAAATAAGACATTTAAAACACCTTGTATATAGTAAAACAATATTCTGTTATGAATGGGAAATACATGACTAATAAGAACAATTAAAATTCCTTCCACTAGCCAGGCGGTGGTGGCACACGCCTTTAATCCCAGCACTCGGGAGGCAGAGGCAGGAGGATCTTTGTGAGTTCGAGGCCAGCCTGGGCTACCAAGTGAGTTCCAGGAAAGGCAAAAAGCTACACAGAGAAACCCTGTCTCGAAAAACCAAAAAAAAAAAAAAAAAAAAATCCTTCCACTTTTGTATATATTACTCAAATTGTCAATCAAGAATTCTTAAATATATAACGATATATAAATATTTGAACTACATTCTGAACTGTATTATTCAAAATTAAATGGTAAATATTATTGCTTAATAAGTTTCTTCAAGAGATAGGCTACTTAATTACATTAAATCATTACTATGTCAGAATAGCCCCCACAAATATTCAACTATTTCTGTAATCCATACAGAAAGTTAATTATGCATATATTTCAAAATAAATCTTACAGTACTTTCCTAGCAATACATATAATTTTTATAAAAATTCAGGAAACTTCCCAATTGTTCTAAACTTCTACTTGTATTATTCATTTTAATGCATTATTAATTTTCTTTAAAATATATTGCTATATTTCCCTATCAAAAAGAAACAAAAAGTTTATGGTTATTTGTCATTAATAGAAAAGTTGCTATCCAGAATTCAATTAGATTATTTATTTGTGTCCACCCATCTTAAATACATTATCACAGGAGTATTTATTTAGAATTACCATCCATATAATATTTTGAAAATAAACTGTATTAACCATCTCTCTAACCTAAAATCCCCTAATTCTTTTATATATGTAACCAAGTTAAGTAGTTTGTAAAACATAATTATAACTTGAAATTAATCATTAAATAATTTCATAAAGTATAAAATTGTTGAACAAGTGATCGCTAAAATACTTCTAAATGCTTATCTATCATTTTACAAATGTTCACTTTTCTTAACACAGGAAAATAGTGCAAGAAAAAAAAAGCTACAATGACTATCCAGATGGAGACCACAGACTTCAGAGTCCAATGAGCCTATCTCTGACGTATAAATATGTTTGAAAATTTTCTTCATTCAAAGACATGTGTACGAGTAAGATAGTCCAAAATGCAAGGCAGTCATGTACAACATTAAAATGTGGCAACCTTTCACTTTAATCTCAGGGAAAACATTATCTGTCATCATCTACATCATCAGATGTTAACTTATTAACTGCATAAAACGTTTTTTTTTTTTTATTCGAATGTCGGTCTCCATTGGTAATGAATATAGAACTATCTTAATACAAAGGAGAAGTATTTCCTCTCCAAGAGCTAAAACAATAAGTGGTATTTGAACTGCTGGTTGAAAGGTAGAGGCACTGGTAGTCATTATTTCCCCTTGTTTGTTCAGGCCCTTCCAACAAAACAAACAACCTTTTTGTGATTGGATTGACATGGTGTTAACAATGCATTTAATGCCCAAATCAGTGTGAATACAGGTAAAGCCCTCACTAATACCAGTACCAGGATGTTAAAGCCACCTATTTTCTAAGCAGCCAAAAGGGAAAAAAAGCTTCTCCTCCTTTGGCAAACAAGGCAATGAGCTAGTATCCACCAGCTCACATCCTACAATCACCTTCTAGCTTAACATGAACATTCATCTCCTACCTGCTGTCCTCTCAGCAATTTCAGCCGCTGCTGCTTTCTCGTGGAGTTCCAACTTAAGCTTTAATTTTCTCTTTTCCTTATCTTCTTTAGTCAATTTTTCTTGAAGCTAAAACAAATTAGAAAAAATTATTCTTATCTGATAAATGCCTTCCATACATAATTAATTCCAAAGTAAGATTTTGTTGTTCTTAAATCTTTGTATAGTATTAGATTTAACTGCTTAAACACACTGACTCTCAGGGAAAAAAGTTCAGGTTGCAATATATTCTCTAAGTAGTGACTACCAGAAATGATATAAAAAATGGAAAAAATATAAGCCATATGTATTTGTATATGTGCATACAGAAATGAAACAGGACAACAGTGTTCACTAAAAATACCTACTACAGACGCTGTTTCATTCATTCCTGTGTCTTAAAGCAAAGAATTCTAAAGGGCTCTACTGGTCCTAAAAATGAAAAATGGGCTGCAGGTTTATGCTTCTTTTAGTAATTCCAATATTTTGAAAAAAAAATCAATTAAGATAATCTTAATATCAGATACAAATCTGACTGTGAATACTGCCTCATATTTCATTTAAATTGACACTGTTACCTGATTCAAATTGGCACATGATAAGTGCTAAATCAAAGTATGGCACGTATCTCACGCTCATACAGAATGCTTCTTTTCATTTTCTTTTTCCATTCTTCCCTGGACTTCTGTCATCTGTGTTGTTTTCCCTCAGAAACAACGTTCATGCTTCAGTCTGATTAGGTCAGACAATGAAAATATTAAAATCAGAAAACTATATAGAATTTTTAAAAGAACCCAAGAAAGTGAGCATTATTTAATAAATTATTGCAAACCAGGGGAATGTTGGGGAGGAACAAGAGGAAACAAAACATGACACATGTACATTGAGCTGGATACATGTAATAGTATAACAGGATACAAAGTATATAACATCAATAGCAACTTTGACATTTGGTTACATATATTACCGAAGTGAAAGAATGGATAGATACTAATAAAAATGAAGAAAAGTTAACAAAGTAGCATGAAAATAGCTGATAATATAACCCACATTCCATAAAATTAAAGCCACGTTTTATTACAGTGAAATTTGAATATTTGCTTTATAGCAACATAAATTACCAGAGCTTTATGGAAAATGAGTGATATTATAGAAACCAAAAGAGCTTATTTTTATAGCCAATCACTTAGCTGAACCAAATACCTGGATGGCAAGACAACACAAGCCTACTGTTGAGGCATTGAAACAGAAATAAAACTGAATAATAATGGACAACAGAGAAAAATGAAATAGTCAACAGCTAAGACACTGTTTACAGCAATTAGACTTTTTATATTTCTATACCTTTTTATTGCTTGTTCTGAGAATCTCCAGTTCTCTTTGGAGATATGCTACTGATGTCTCTTGATTTAAGTCTGGGATAACTTGATGAGAAATCACAGGTTCATAATTCATATCATTCTTTCCACATTCCAGTATACTATAATAAAGAGAATTATTAAATAATTTATATATATATGATTTCACAAATGATGTAAATTTATTATTCACAATAAATATGTAAAAATATTTAAGTTTAAACTTTTTATGTAGCTAAAGTATGATTGCTATAAAACAATAAATATATCAACTTACAGATATACCAATTTATCAGTGGGGAAAATAAAGTTTGTGGAAAGCACATAGTGATCCCAAAGAGACTCTAGTTAAGTATACTTGACAAAAGTGTACAGGTTTTCATTTGTAGTTCTGGTTAGGATCAACTTATGTTTTTTGCTTTCCTGAAAATAGATATAATCATTTTCCCAATTTTATTAAAACAGTATCATACTCATATTTTAATTATTAAATGGAAGACATTAAAATTAATATCTATGTCCGAAAGACTTAATGGTAAACATATTCCATAAGACAGTGATGTCAACCTGTAAGCAGGTAGTATAAAGAAGAGACGAGAACAAGATAGATTGTTTTCTGGTATTATGGTGTTAAATATGTCAACACTGGTGGATGTAGTGTTACTTAAGCCAGTCTTTGGCGCTGAGTCCTGGGATGGTCAGTGAATATAGGGCTATTACTATGCTCTCATGTTGAATGCTCTCATATTGAATTATACTATAGATCTCTCAGCAGGAACATAAGCTCTACCATTTATCTTTCTTACATGATTATAACAATGCTTATCCATGTTCCCATCATCCTTGCCTCTATACCTTAAAATATACCTCAAATTGTATTTAAGTAAGAATCCGACACTAAGGGAGAATGTAGCCAGGAGTTTTCCTGTGTCCTGACTGGTCCACAGCCACTCAGACCCAAGTAAACACACACAGGCTTATATTATTTAAAACTTCTCAGCCATTAGCTCAGGCTTATTATTGACTAACTCTTACACTTAAACTCAACCCATTCTATTAATCTATATGTCGCCACGTGTTACATGGCTTTACCTGTGTGTCATTACATGTTGCTCCCTGGACAGTGGGCTGGTGTCTCCTGACTCAGCCTTCCTCTTCCCAGAATTCTCCTTGCCTGTTTATCCTGCTTATACTTTCTGCCTGGCTACTGGCCAATCAGTGTTTTATTAAACCAGTGTACAAAAGCATTATTCCACAGCAGAAGACCTTTAATACAGTTATTGATTTTACTGTGTATTGGTATCAATGAATATATCTTACTGAGTAATTTTGAACAGAAAAACAACTCCACAAAAAACTTTTAAAAAACAGTGCTCTAAAAAATATGAAAAGAGAATTACGCTGTCATTTTCAAGTCTAATGTTATCTTTGCTGCATATGATTAATTAACAAAGTAGCATAATCCCATTGATAATAAACACAGGTTTCTCCACACTGGATGACTTAATGCTATAGAATGTAATTTAATAAGAAAGACAAAAGGTAGATGGCGTACAAGGTCGCCCTAAAAGTATTCACATCATCCCAAACAAAGAACAGAGAGCTATGTGAAAAAGAAAAAAATCTTTGAACAGGTTTAAGCTTTGGTAAATAGTATCTCATATCAATTTCACAAGTATCCTTATACCCATAATGAAGAGTCACAGAAAATAATATCGAGGAGGAATCAAACTTCACTGCTTTCTTTAAACTCATCCTGTGTTGCTGCTCTCAGCTATCTAGACATATTATATCAATATTATATCAACATTATATCAATATTATATCAATATTATGGAAGTAATAGAAAGCCCTTGCAGGGTCCTGAAATTGTTTTTAAGTCAATGACACATTAAATTTATCTGACACCAAAATGAAGAAGAGGGACAATGTATTAAAGAAGAAATGTTGTTCCAATTCTTACCTTTTAGATTAAACACTGAAACCAACACTCACCTGCACTTTGTAGACGGCCCTTCATCTGGATAAGGACCGATGGCCTGTAAATTGCTGGAGATTCTCTCTGGTAGTTCCAGGTCCTCAGATGTGACTTCATTGCCTAATTTATGCATGACTTGCTCAGAATTCATAGTCAGCTGCTCATCTACTGATGCACTCTCAGTTCCCACTGAAGCCTCTTGCGCAAGACAAATGGTTGTATCTGCACTAAAACAAAAATATATGACACATAAAAGGACAGATCCATGTAGGAAAATTGTTGAATCAGATGAACATTCTTATGAAAACACCTCACAGCTTTTAACACAGGTACTAGTCGTCCTCTACTGTAGTCGATTAAGGATGTGCAGGCCAGCATTTGTCATCCATATTTTCACTTCCCTCAACAGAAGCTATTTAAAGTAATAGCTAACAAATGAGGCTACACACTGTGACCTTGGCAGAGCAAGTCATACCTGTGCTAACTGAATCAAAGCCTCTGGGAGAAGCATCAGCTCCTTTTTTTTTTTTTTTTTTTTTTTTTTCATTGCCTAAATTATTACAGTTGCTGCAAGGACCACTGGTTTAAACTCACTACTCTCAAAATAGCAAGGAATAAAGATATGGCTATAATGAATCAATACTGTACAATGGAACTAAGGTTCAGACTGCCTGGGGGAAATTACAGCCTTAATAAGTGTAGAATGCTGTACAAGTTATTTAACACAACATTTTCTTGTCTATAAAATGTAAATAAAATATCACTGACTTAACTAAGTATCTGACATACCAATAAATGTGGTTTATTTCAGTAACATAATACTATTAAAATGGATGTAAGAATAATTTTAACATTAATATCATCAAATACATATGATATATTAGAAAATATACTTTGTATGCTTAATTATATCTAAAAAATTATTTAAGTCCCATGCACTAAGCAATATTTATTTTAAAGGGATAAACTATATTTAATGGCATAGTAAAGTTTTGGAGGAAATAATATATACAAAATCAAATCTGTTATTCCTAAGATTGAAAGGCAAAACTGTTGATTGTAACATGTACTTCATTAACTCCAAAAGAAATAATTCTTCGGCCTTAAAAAGTAGTCTTAGAGATGTACAAGGAAATCTGCCAACATATAATCCTCTAGAGGCACAAAAGTAATATTAAAATACAAAGAAAATATTATACAAAAAAAGAAAGTAACTCTCATAAAACTTCATTTGATTTTTTTTGGTTGTAATAACTGTAGATAATAAAAACTTCAAGTCCAGATACTATTCATATTGGTAAATGGAAGCTATATCACAAATCACTTGCTCTTGGTAAATATTTTGATTTATCTTTGTTGAAGAATGAATTAGAAGAGAGAAATGCTGTATCACAACTGCATGCTATGAAATAACCATGACATTTCAACATAATATTATTCTGAAATCTTATATTTAAAGATTAGTTGATTTTTGAGATCGAAAAACTCTTTCATGGTTTGCTTTACATGCACATTGATCATTCTGTTTTCCTAGAATACCTGGCATAAGAATGGAATCCTCAAACTCTAAACGAGAGAATTTTTGGGGCACTAAGGCGATATTCTATTAGCAGTAGATTGTGTGTTATAACATGAATCACCAACCAGTATTTCACTATGATAATCCTCCATTCCAAACTTCTAGAGGAGATATGGAAGCTTACAAATAAAAGGGCATTTGGTTTCCTCCTAGATTTTAGTAGTTCTGATATTTAGAGCAATTGTAAAATGCATACACTTCTGACATAGTCTTTGTAATTATTTTAACATTTTTTGTTTAATTTTATGTAAGTGTTTTGCCTGTATGTATGTATGTGCATCACTGTGTGCATAGTGCCCATGAATATCAGGAGAGGGTGTCGGATCCCACTAAAACAGAAGGTGCAGTTGTGAGCCATGATATGGGTGCTGGGAATTGAACCCTGGTACTCTGGAAGAGCAGCCATCCAGCCCCCAGTTCTGAGATTTCTTTATTTTAATTTTAACATGTTTTAAAATGTTACTAGTTTAGAGGCTATGGCAGGAGGTTTGCTAGATAGTGAATTTTAGACCAGCCTGGGCTCCAGGGTAAGACCCTGGACTAACATTATCCCCCTCCCTCCAAAAAACACTCTCAAAAGTTAATATTTGAAACATTTAATATATATAAGGAACCCATACTGCATGGGTTAGCTCTATTTCTAATTTTGTTCAGTCATAAAACCTTTTAGATTCCTAATTTGAACTGTTCATCTGACATTTAGAGTCTGCTCTGCAAATCAAACTATCTATACTCTTTTATTGAGAATTTAATTTTACTTCAGAGTAAACAAGGCTGATTTATAAATCTTCCCACCTGCCTGCCTGCATTTTATTTTTTTTAAAAAAATCAGTTTGGCAAACACTATTTCATCAAATTAGTGCTAAAAACTGGAAAGGCTTTCGAATGTTCTTCTTTACTACATTATTCTATATAAGTATTCAACCATTCTATGGAAAATTTGATTTTTTTAAATTCTATTCCTTATTCGGTATTTTGATACTCATTTGTGGAAACCACATAGTCAATGTACCCTATGGCTGTGCACTGGGGAAACAAACAGAAGAGAAGAACAGACACTCTGTGAAGACTCTAGTACAACTGTGATGAGAAAATGATGTAATGATTTGAATATCTGAATGTAACAAGGACCAGGCTTGGGCTATACAACTGATTATATGGAACATCTATGCATAATGAAGATTTATTCTCTAGGAATAGAGAGAGTTAACAAACACAGAAAATAGTCCTGTGTGTCCTGTTAACTTTGCCTACATTTCTCTATCTCTCTTCTCTCTTCTCTCTCTCTCTCTCTCTCTCTCTCTCTCTCTCTCTCTCTCTCTCTCTCTCCCTCCCTCCCTCCCTCCCTCCCTACTACGGATCTAACTATATGCCCATACATGTTTTTTTTCCCTAAAATATTTGAGAGTACACTGCAGTATGTACTTTGGCTTTTGGGTACAATTAAGGTATTAATTTAACACATTGCATTTTGCCAAATTTTACTTATCTTATCCAAATCCTTCAATAAGTAGTACAATTTCTGACTTAATGCTCTCTCCAACTATGAGAACAGACTAGCACACAGTAAGTCTAAATTCGGTCATTATTTCCCCAGACTCTTCATCCCAGGAGAAACGGGGTTGTAAGGCGATAGTGGGATGAAGCTACTAAAAGCTTAAGCTGAACTTGTACTACCAATCAATTCTAAGAGAATTGTGTAGAATCATGAACACAAAAGCCAATAAAGTGATACAAAAGGGAAGTTGTAGGATGGTTCTGTACAGAAGCCAGTCAGTTCGAAAGATAAACATTCAACAAAAGACAGATGTCCACTCTAAACCAAGTCTTATCTCTGAGCAGACAACATTTGAAAATGAAACCCTTCTATCAAAATTCTTTCTCTCCCTCTGTCCCACATTTAAAATAGGAGCTCTCTTTAGTAATCCATATTAGTGGTTAATTAATGCCATTGTTAACTGTTCTGTCATTATGGCTAACTGATCTCATATTATTTAAATTCATCTCTCCATATGGGATTAGATAATAATCTCTTTTCATAATGCATGTCTATGAAGTCTTAGTTTCTTTATTCAACTTTAAGCAACAGGAAAATCCTTGTAACTATTATCATGCCTTCATTTGCTCTTCTGTGACCATAGTTTTACATGGACATAGATACCTATCATTTCAAATGTACCTTTGAAATTTTGTTATTACTAGCTAATGTTATCACTGTTGTGATAACTTCTCCTGCAACTACTTGAAATATTCTGGATAGCTACTACAAGGTGTTCCTCTGAAATACCATGTACTGCTATTGCCAAAGGAAGTTATGCATCTGGACAACACGAGTGGAATTGATGCTGACCTTTTGAAATCAATACCTATTGGAAGGCTAGTTACAATACAAGCGTTGAAGACCTCATCTCTCTCTAGTGGACTTAGGTACCACTTCAACAGACGATTTTCATGATTGAAAGAATTCTTATTTTACTTATGGACATATCAGTATTGCCAACAGGCTCAGTGCCAATGTGTTTAAACACTCGATTCTTCACTTTAGAAAACAAATCAAATTATGATACCATTTCCTTATCTAGAAGAGGAAGCTCTGCGATCCTTTTTGAATTCATTTTCCCAGTTACACAGAAATGTATATCTGATGTTACCCAGGAAATGAGAACTCACAGCCTAACTAAGAATTGTATCGTGACTATCCCACAGAAGTGTTGAGGTGGCGAGAATCAAACAGGAATTCGGAGAAGCTGGGAAAGTCTGTTCTGCTGGCTTTGTAAATAGTTTGTGACAACTGGTATCTGTGTAAATGGATTTGATGGTCCCCTGGGGGGGGGGTCAATATTGTTTACAGAGCTGTTTCCTCAGAGTGGTTGAACTAGAATCATCCCTAGGGATCCTACCAGGTTACTAAGAATAGCAATGACCTAGTCACCTGAGAGCTCAAGAATAGAAAAAGACAAGCAGATCAAAGGAATATTGGCAAATACATTAGAATAAATGAACCATTGTCTCGTTTTTAAATTTCCCCTCTTGTTTTTGAGATTCTAATCACATCATTTCTCTCTTCCCTTTCCTCCCTCCAAACTCTCTCAAATACTCCTCCTTGCTCTCCTTCAAATTCATGGTCTATTTTTCCATTAATTGTTATTGCACGTATATGTATATACATATACATTCCTAAATATAACCCACCCACTCTATATAAAGTACAGCTTAGGAGAATTCACACCTAAGATTAACTGCAACAGGCATGCGGTTACTCTGCTTCTGACACTGGCTAGCCACTTATTAACACTTCTTTAAATTCTCTTTTGAGAGAAAATGAGCAGGTAGAAATAATTATATTTAGCAACTGATTCCATAAATATAAAAATAAACCCTGTTGTTTATTGCCTTTCATTCCTATACTATCTCCAGTTTTTTTTGCTATTAGATTATAAACTAGATGTAATGAAAGACCACAGTGTTCCCCATTTTAAACAGTTTTTAAAAATGAGCATTAGTTTCAAAATACCAGATGAATAGTATCAACTCGGGGTTCCTAATGACATCTGCCACTTTTAAGTAATTTAAAAGTATGCGTGTATGTGTATGCATATGTCTGCCTATCTGTACAAATATTACTTATTTCAATTAGTATGTATTTCC